ATTATTTAAAGCTATTTTTGTGTTAAATGAGAAAGTATCAAGTAGACATCAAATTGTATGTAAAAAAATAAATATTTTATTTGATTCAACATAGCATGTCTTACAACATTTAGGCTACACTGGCCTAAACTATGGAACATAAAAGAAGATAATTTGAGAAACATCTCAGGAATTTTTGTTAATACAATGAAAGTCACTAGTAACCAAAACAGCTTTGTTACCAACAGTCTTCAAAATACCTTCTTTTATGTTCCACAAAAGAAAGGTTTGAAATGACATGAGGGTGAGTAAATGACAGAATTGAATTTTTTTGTAATCTCTTTAATGTTATTATTATTATATATATATATATATTTTTTTATGAAATTATACTCTAAATAAGAAACTAAATCAGCCAGCAAGTGGCGGTAAATGTATTTATGAGTCATACATTCATTCATTCATTCATTCATTCATTCGATTCGTTCAAACGGCTTATTCAATTCAGGAATTAAGTAAATGGCTCTCTCTAGGAATGGGGCTTTGAATCATTGATTCACCCGATTCATTCAAAACGCAGATTAATTCAGAAACTAAACACCGCTGTGTTGCTTGGAGACGCGCAACAACTCCGCTGTGGCTTTAAATGTAATGTGTTCTCTGCAAAATTGAGCAAAAACACATATTTTGTTTAAAATATAATACAATATTAACTTCTTATTTACTGAACTGTTGTATAAGATAACATTTAAACTCGTGATATTCTGGACAAAATCAGCACTCGTGTAATACTGCTCTCGCTGCTCCTGTCATCGTATGATATAAACATGAGACAAAAACTCATACAGGGGCATTGCACCAATATCTTGAATTTTAGGGTATAACTGCATATATGGAGTTGTTGCCCTGCATCATATTTGTCAACAGTCAACTGTATGAAATGTAAGATGACATACAGGTCTGGGGGCAGGGCCAGTGCGTTAACTGCATTAAAATATTTTAATGAGGTATATATATATATATATATATAGACACTCATGCCGTCAAACTGTTGTATAAATGCAATATCACACTCATAGCTGTACGATACGGCTGTATATCGGCACACTGTGATTACCTACGGCTGAATCATATATGATATACACCCATATCGCACTGCTACTCGTGTGGTATTGCTCATATATGTCTTTAATGCACTTATCAAAATAACAAAAGCAGTCAATAAAATAGGTTTTAATGTCAAAAATAAGTATTTATAATGCATCATTTAATAAAGAAGTGGAAATCAAGAAACTCAGGGCATAAAATTATGTCCAGAATCATTCATACATGTGAAAATGGGCTCAGAGTGAAACTGATAGTTGTAATGTGGCTCAAATTCAGGCAGGAATCATGCATTTGTGGTGTTTTTCTGCTGATTAAGGCAAAATACAAGAATTCGTCATCTTATGAATGCTAGTTGAAAGCAAAAATGCTACAAAATGCGTCATAAGAAAGTGTGACATGAAAGAGCAAAACAGAGACTTGTTGTTATTTGTCAGTAATATAGCTTGACAGTCACAATTCTCTGTTTACTTTCCTTATATGGAAAAAATGCATGTGAACTCTCTGCTAAACATCAACTTTTGTGTACTACAGAAGGTAGAGTTGAAGATAGAGAGGGTGAAAGAATAAAAAAATAATAAGAAACAAGTGTTGGTTTTCATGCTTTAATCGTACTATCCCTTTAAAGCAATCACCACTGAATCCACCCGTTTGAATTCACTGCGAATGAGGGACTGAATCAGGTGTGTGTGTGTGTGTGTTTGAGACGGGAAGGGCAAAAATCCCTCAGGACTCCGGCAAACATTGCTGCCCTACAAATTAAACCGGTCGCCTCTATTGCTGGAGACACGCTCATGTCTTATTTATTAAGGAGAGAAAAGGAAAGGATGGTGGCGGCAGGCGGGTGAAAGAGAGAAAAACTTTAGTGCATATGGAGTGTTTGGTTGCGAGCAGCAGGCAGAGGGATCTTGGCTGCATGCATGTGTGTGTGTGTGTGTGTGTGTGTGTGTGTTGGTACGGAGGCCAGGTCCTTGCTGCAGGCGGCTCAGGCTGGCCAGGGTACCGCAGGAGAGCAGATGGACAGCCAAAGCTTGTAGTCACACTTACCTTCGCTGCTAAAACCCTAATCCCACAACGCAGTCTCCTCCAAGGCGGTCTCACCGCGGAGAGGGGCCGCAATCTGGACTCGAGGATTCGCTGCCAACCTCTCACTACACAGACATGCAAATGGACCCGTCGCAGCAGCTGACCGCCAGCCAGAACGCCACTTCCTCAGAGTAATTAAGACACCTAGAAAAAAAGAAAAAGCCCTGCGAGGAAGATCACAACTTTGAGACGGATGAAGAAGGGAAGGTGTGCGAGCGAAGGGCCATTCGTGACGATTCGGCCCTGTCGATAGCATAAATCGCGGTCTTAATTGGCCAAGTATCCTGACGAGCATCGTGTTTACAGCAGAGCAGCGAATCAGAGCGGCGGCGGAAATCTGCCCGACGTCAGTCAGCTGGGAGATTTGGCCCTCGCTGCGGCGAACAGACCCGCTTATTGGAGCCAGTTTGGTGGGTAAATAGAGGACAGATGTTAA